CACACACACACACACACACACACACACACACACACACACACACACACACACACCTAGTTTACTAAGATCAAATTAAAGCAAATTTGTCCATGTTGGTGTAGATAGTTTTAAGTCATTGATTGTCTCGTGTTCCTGTTTGGAAAAGTGGAAATTCTTTGTGCCATATGTGGAACAGCTGTCACGGAGGATAAAAGTATTTATCCCATTCTGTTTTCCTCTTTTTATCTTTCCATCTTTACTTCCTCTCTCTTTATGCTCCGTGCTTTAATTACACACCCACGGACAGACGTCACCAATTAGAGGCTAGACGGTGGCAGCAGGCATTGTGGGTAATCCTGATGGTCTCAGTGTCTTATTCTGAATCAGAAGGCGCTTCTCCAGCTGGCAGTCTAAAGGCTCTGCACAGCAGGACATCCCTAAACCCACATCAGTACCACATCACACGCTTGTGCTTTGGACAAACGCACTCAGTGAGAGGACAGGCCCATTCATAATCACAGCACGCAAAGAAGCAAGTTAACAAACACCTTTACTTAATTCCTAAGTAGTGCACAGACATAAATATGTAATACCCGGATGTGTACAATGTATTTATATAGATCAATTACACCAGTAGGCAGCTTTAAAAAACTTCATGACCTACCCAAACTCTTAATAATAAACTTCTATTATTAATATTAAGAGTATTCATATTTTACATATAAACATCTCCTTTAATAGCATCACTGATTTCAGTCAATCTGTTCAGTGCACTAAATGTTTATTCTTCTTTCTTTAATAGCAAAATTATATATAAAAGTCAATAATCCCTCCATAAGACAAAACTGATATTCAGAACTTACTAAATATTCTGGACTAGGAAGCATATACAAAATGAATGAAGGAGGACCCAGAATTGAACTGTGGGGAACTCATTATCGAATTGTTATTGTTTGGTCTTGAACTTATTAAAAAACACTAGTTAGTGATTAAGATGCAAACTAGACCACTGTGTAGATGTTGTTTGATTTGAATAGACTGTGCAGGGTTCTGTTCCAGTTTAATTTGGATTATTAAAGTACTTCTTTGAAGGGCATTGCAACAGAATGATGCTGAGAAAGAGCTGGCTGTCTCTTTTGTACAGCATCAGTTGAGCAGGGAGATAAACCGAGAGGAGAAGAGAGGAGAAACTGGAGTATTTTTGTTGTGTTATCAGGTGTTATCATGAGGACTTAGCTGAAGCATCAAAAAGACAGAACTGTTAACAAAGCGACAGAGAACAGAAGAAAAGAAGATGTTATCAGAGTAATGTGGGGTTGTTTTGCGAGATGATGACTTGATCAAAGTTATGGCATTGTGTGTGTGAGTGCATGCGCGCATGCATGTGTTCATGCGTGCGTGTGTGTTTGATACAATATGAAGGGTAATTGGGCTTCAAAGCAGTACTGGCACAGATCCAGCTAGCGATTTTAGTCCCTCAGACAGTTGATGAACAGACCTACTTACACACGAAAACACACGCGCGCGCACACACACACACACACACACACACACACACACACACACACACACACACACACACACACACAGCTAAGCCTATTACAGTGACCAAAAGAGTCGTGCAAGAATATATAGTAACATCCAAAACACAGTGCACAGATGCGACTTTGTGCTTAGACTAACACCTGATGTTTGAACCTGGGACCTTTACATGTTCTCCACCTGTTTGCAGTTCATTTTTTAAGAAATCAGGGTTAATGACATACACTAAAATTCCCAGAAAGTTGAGATCTTTAAAAACAATCACATGAGCAGTGGATTGTATCACTCATGTAGAGGAGCAATTAGATGGTGCAAAGAGGCGTGAGGCCAGAACTGCGGCAAAAAAAATAAAAAATTAAAGGGGAATGCTTTATCTTGTCTATTGATCTGCTTGCACTGAGGTGTCATTTCAGAAGTAGAATAATGGGATAAACAGTGCTGTTTGTCAGGAGATTCTATAGCCATCCATCTACAGCTGTAGAGCCTGCGCTTGTAATACAGACATGAATCTGACCTGATGTCTGTGATAGATTTTCCCAAAGCTGTGCACATGGAGGCATTCAAACCCTTTAGTTTGGGTCAAAAGTTTGACCCTTCAAATATGCTGCTTCATCAACATATCTGCTCATAACTCTAGATAGAGGAAGAATCTATGTCGGGGATGTCCAACATAAGGCATGGGGACCAGAATCGGTCCTGGAAAGACTGATTTGTCCACCTGGACGGCTTTGGAACACACGAAGGATGGAAGAATTCATTTTTGTTTTACAACCTTTCCTACGGATGAAGACTTCCCTCACAGCCATTCATACTACATCAAAGTATTAACGTATCTACTATTGAACTTATTAAAGGATTAGATGTGTAAGTAATTAAATGTGTAAGTAAACTTCTTCACAGAAAGTGAAATTTCACTGATTCGGCCCTTTGAAGATCAAATTCATCCAGGATGTAAAAGGATGAGTTTAACACCCCTGCCCTCTATGTATGACCTCACTTTTCTGGTGATTTCATTATTAGGAGAGTGAATAGGATTAGATCAACAGCAGTGTCCCATCAGAAAGCAATAGGCTGGTTATGGTGAGGGTGATGATGAAGACAACAATGTGAAGAATCAGCTGGCATAAAGTTTGCATCAGTAAGTAAAAACGCTGTTAATATAGTGCAAGACTGTCTACAGCAAAGTCTTGTTTTCAAGCCTCACTTTTAAAAAAATGTATATTATATCTGTGAAATATGACATTTTAATATTATAAAACAAATCCCAAGAGTGATTTTTTAAAATATTTTCTAAAAGAGCCGTGTGAGTAAATTTAGCATGAGCTTCAGTCCCTCTAATAATATCAGATGTAGCGTTTATCCTCATAATCACTTATCAGTTATTACACTGTATTTACTGACTATTTAGTCTTTACCTATATATCTCCAAGTAATGGACAGAGTTCATAACTGCTGTGCTTAGATGTGTGGTACTAGAATCACTATTACCATATTATCCTCATTAGTGATGACATTTACATACAAAAAATAGATTTTTGGATTATTCAAATTAAATGTTTTCTGAACCCTAACCTTAATAGAAAAGAAAAACAAGGAATGAAAAACGCTGCCTCTTACTTTAACACATGAATGGGCTGGACAGAGAATTCAGTGACACCTACAAAACAAGAACCTCCATGTATTGAGCGATGAGCTTCAGAGTGTCAGAGGGGAGGTAAAAGTTCAAAGTCTTAACTGTAGTTCAGCACAGGAGTAATCAATCCAACCGAGCATGCAGAACAAACAAAGGAGCAGGCAGAGCAAAAACCAGGGGACTGAACTGGGTCAAAAACACGCACAGACTGTCACAAGAAGAATGCTGAGCCACTGTGAATGTGATAGATGTGGCGCACAACCGAGGTAAAACGCAGTTTAAATACACAGGGGAGACAATTAGACACAGGTGAAACACATTAGGATGGGGAAGGTAATCACACAGGAGAGCAGCGAGGAGGTGGACCTGAGATAAAAGACAAGGGTAAGTGACAAAGTGAGACACATGAAAACTGATGAAAAATGTGCAACGAGAGGAAAAACAACAGAACATAACTTATAGAACCAGCTGGGATCTCACACTCAGCCATTTCAGTGTGTAACAAACTATTCATGTCATCTTGGTGACAGGTTCAGGTTTCAATGGGGAAAAAAGTTTATGCTGGATATTTTCACAGACTGGGTAAAGTGTTAGGAATGAAAGGATGCCATGCTGCTTGATGGAAATGAAAATGATTAACCTACAGAGGGCTGAATTCAAGATGCCCTCCATGGTGGGTCAGGCCATCACTGACCTACCGCCAAACCTGTCACGCTGAACGACGTCACAGGCAGTTCACAAACACAGGGTTGCAATGGTGGATCTGCCAATTTTGGTATTCTATGATGAACGCCAAATAGAGGATGTCGGGCCACCATTATTAAGCCTGTTTCTGATTATTTAGAGACATTTACACTAGTGTCCTGCTGGAGGTCGTTTTGTAGCTCCGGCAGTGCATCCGTTCGTCCCTACACAAACAGCAGAGTCTCATTATTGCCCCTCTAGTGCACCTGTTGTTTTTTCCACTAACACCAAATCTGCTAAACCTGATTAAGAAACTCCTCTGCTACTTAAACTGACCAGTTAATATCAACATCACACACGTTTAACTGACTTGATGCTGTGCTCTGATTAAAAAGTGTCCCTTTCATTTTTTTTCAGTAGTGTTTTCCAGAATACATGAAACACTTAAAATTTGAATGCAATCAATACTTTCTGAGTGTGGATTATGGATTATGGAGACTATAATGTGTTTGATGGGCTGGAACTGATGGTACAGATCACACCATGTACAGTAGATGAGAGTTTAAATTTGTATTTAAAAAATGTTGCCATTATACTCGTGATGTATCAGCGTGGAGAAAATGTAACAACTTGTTACGTAATGTGCATAAAAAAAAGTCCTTTATACTGCATCATCACCAGCGTATTCCATTATCAGGTTTATGGGATTGATCATTATATTATGCAAAGTAATTAGATTACGATACGGAAAGAAGAAAACCACAAATCATTCAGGGTTCTGGGTGTAAGTGGAGTGCAAGAGAGCAACAAATTATGACCATTAAAGTGTTAAAAGACCACAATTGACTTTTTGTGGATTAATTTGGTGCAGAGTAGATGGTTGTTTACTGATGGCTTCTTAATGAATACACCACATTTGGACAAATCTGGATCTTGCTCATAAAAGCTTGTATTCCCTGCTCTGTGTTGTCCTTGGTCCAGAAATACAGAGAAGGTCAGACTGATTGACTTCAGTGTTCTGTTATTGAGCCCTGTCTGGACAGCTTGCTCTGCAGGCATCAGACCTTGTTAATTCTGTCTCAACAGGTGCTGTTGACGTACCCTGGCACCGAGCTCGCTCTGAGGATTTGACGTGTGCAAACAAGGTAGAGTACATAAAGAAGCATGTTCGAGAGAAGGTAAGCAGGTGTGCTGAGCTGCCGCAAGAAAGACAGTCCACCAATCCGAGAAACAGAAGCACCAAGATTTGAATTCTTCTGTTTTCTGGGAGTTAAAGGAGCTTTTCGTTGTGTCTGAACAGCAGCTGCAGTATGGAGCCCATCTCTCAGACCATGGAGGCAGCAGATGCTCATCTGCAGAGGCGTGGGTGGAGGTTTGTGACCAAACGGGGAGCCTCATCGCAGTTCGTGGGGAGCACCATGATGATCATGGCCACTTATGCCGTCACCACCCTGACTATGAACCTGGGGAAAAAAATACAGGAACGAAGATCGAGACCGAACGGCAACTAAAGATGGCCTCATCACTGCCTTCACCCTGTGATGATGTCGGCAGCAACGCCCGGAAGAGATCAGAAATGGTTGGACTCAGCTTTGGTGCTTCATTCAACTCATCTCAACTTTCCTCTCTGAAGCTGGGAGGTGGTCTTTCACCTTAACCTGAGGTCATTATCATAAATGAGTGATGACAAATGGACGTGAATACATCACATGCACTGCTGCCATGTGACCACAGGGTGGAGAACTGGGACTACTTCATGACAACGAGCCACCAGCCCACTAGGGGCTGAATGTGTCTGACAGTTCAGACATTAAAAAACAAAGACAGTGGCATTTTCTCAACCCATTAAATGCATTTAAAGAACGATGATTAGAGCTATGTCGATGTTCTGTGACTAACAAGTAGAACTCTGATAATTTGTTCTTGTATTATGAGTTTCTTTCTTGTTTTTTTTTTAATCATCATAAAGTTGCCTTTTAAGTTTAAAACAAGCCTGTGTGACAGCAGACTGTAAAAACTGTAAAATGTCAGGTCGCTCGAGTGTTTCTTGTGAGACAGAAAATTATTGTAATGCTGTGCTGAATCACTGACTTTAAATAAATGATCAAATATATTCCAGTTTTAAGATTTCTCTTTTGATTTCTGTTCAATCCAGCAAGCATTTCACGTATATAAATGAAAAAGATTTGGAGGACACAAAGTGACAGGTGCTTTGAAATGTAACTCCTGATGTAATGAACAAATGAATCATAGTGTGATTCTGTCTTTATCCATCTGCCAAACACTGGACTCCTGGTGACATTTGAAATGTGTCATGTTAGCAAAAAATGGCAACTTAATTTTTTTTTTCTAAAAAAAAAAAAAAATCAACAAAAAACAAGAATTTGGCATTTGACCAGTGACATTTCTGTCAACTAAAAGGTCACTGAATTTGACCTTTTGTTAGTAAAAGCACCGAGCAGCAGTTCATTGTACCATTTAAACGGTTCAAATTATTATAAACGACGCCTCACTGAGAATATAACGCGAGATCATTTTTTCCTAAATAATGAAGGAGCTTTGAATGATTTCCCCATGTTTACAACATAATGATATCCTGATGTTGTCTTCATATAAACCACGGGGTTTCTATTTTTCCACATGGAGAGTAGGCTGAGGTTGGTTGTCACGTGGCTCGTTACCGCCACATTAGAGGACAGTGGTGAATTCTGTCGACATCACATTTTGACTGACACTTATGAAAAATACAAAAAAACATGTTTAAACTCATGGGATAAATAGGCGGTGAAAATGTATTGATTAAAGTCTATTTACATTTATCAAACGCCATTTTTTTACTAAAACCCCACTGATAACTATAGGAAGAACCAACTCCACATCATGACAACCAAACCCTGCTATGGGGTAAGTAGTCACAAAGTGACAGATGGCTAACTACTGGCACACAAGTTGCACTTCCATTATATGAATACAACATCATTGTATACATAAGGTCCAGAAACCTCTTGATTCTCTGGGTCTGAGCTCATTTAAAGCTAGACTGAAGTCTAAGCACCCAAAAACCTGAAATTTGTTTTGAAAATCGTTTATTGCACAGTTCAAAAGCCAGCATCTGTGACAGTTATGGGAGCACATGGCACAGGTCGTTTGAGCATCTGTGAAGGCACCATTAATCCTACTCAGATGCTGTCCTCCAGATGACATCTTTTCTCTTGCCTGCTTCATAAGACGGTGCCAAATGACATTCCAACAGCGAAAAAAAAGAGTCCAAATATGCCCAGACCTGCCACTCACTGAGCACATTTGGCACATTATGAAACGAAAAAAGCAACAAAGGAGGTGGGAAACTGTTGAGCTGCTGAAATTGTATATCAAGTAATAATGAGAAAACAGCTCTTCGAGTGTTGTTAAAAGAAGGGATGACGCAGCACAGTGGGAGGAAAAAGCCCTTATAGTAACATTTCATTTAAGTGCCCGGGTTTAGATTGATTGAAATTTATTCTGTGGACACTGTGTTAACAGTTAGGACAATTAGATACTATTAAGCACAGAGGAGTGGATATTTGTATGGTATACCTCCCACACAGCCAGCATTTCAGTGCTTTGGTTTATTTGCCTTGGGTAAATTTGCACAAGTGCTACAGTGTTGTGCAAAAGCTTTATTGGTTCTGATGACACAGTATCACCTGGGATCAGTCTGATTATCAGGGAGAGCAATGATCAGTCTGCAGCAGCAGCACCATGGAGTCACACAAAGAGACAGCCCTAATCCACAGGTTTGTGCGACTGTACTGAGGAGATCTGGTGATGTTGGTGGTCACAGCCAGTATTAATTGCAATTATTGTTTGCTCTTTGCACAAGCCATCAAGCTGCTAATAAAAACTGTTTGTGAGTGCATCCTCAATTATAGCTCAACTCTGCTCATTTGCTGACTGGCTTTCATGCACTCGGGCTGATGGGAAACACTGATTGTTGTCGATTTCTGCACTCACGTTTTCCTGTTTACTTCACGTCTTTGTCCAGTTATTTGGGTATGTTTTCATGAAATCACAAATGCAATTTTCAGTCCGGCTACTTGAGCTATTAGCGCAGCCTTTCTGGTGCCCCCTTGGCAATGTAGCACCCTCTGTTAAAAACGGCTTTTGTGCACAACATAGACCAAGAGTTTTTAGAAAGCTTCTCAACCCCCTCACCCTTTCTCTTTGCAAAATTTCATGCAGCTGCAGGACTGCTTAGAGCGTCTGCCACCCCGGGAGTAATCGGTCAGTGTATCAAATCAAAGAAGCCCTAAATGGTGGAAATGAATGTTTGGCACTCAGTGAGTCAACAATGGTGGGTGATGCTGCTTTGCCAGCTGAGGGCCAGCCTAAAAGCTCAAGCGCAGGCAGAGACCCAACCCTGTTAAATGAGAACGACAACAAGGGTACACGGAGAGCAGCCTCTGTCCTCCCTCTCTCTCCCTTCCCTGAATAGCTCCTCACAAAGGATATTGTTATTCCCTCTCTAATTACCAGCTGAAGAGCTGTTTGTCCACGTCTCACTCACTGCGTTCTCACCCCCAGAAATAAAGTGCTCTGTGGTGATGACCCTCAGCAGTTATGAAACAGTCTGGTGGACAAAAGGGCCCCGGCTAACCCTCATTGCCTCCTTCAGCAATGAGGGTCCGGTACAGTTCGCATCTCAGCTGAGTCTCCACCAAGACCATTTCATCTGCGCTCAATCTGTATGATTATTTGGCGGCCAGTCTGTCTGGTCCCTTCCCGTCCCTGCACGGTTTTGTTGCCAAAACCAATCATGTCTAAGACATGTCACCAGTTTCACAGTCTTGGTTTTAGGCTGATGTATCTAGGCCACAAGACACTCTCCATCTGCTCTTATTTGGTGGAAAGCCTTGGGAGGGCACTCAGAGAGAGAGAGAGATGCATCCAGCCAGGGATTAGGTTGGTACAGCAGGTCCAAGGGGAGGTGAGATTAAAAGCCAGGAGCAATAAAACACACGGTGGAGAAATAAGTCATGTCTGTCTACCCAAACTGAGGCCATGCACTACGAGGCAGTCCTTGAGCAAATCTAAAATTGATAACATGCTTTTGGAGAATTCAACCTCTGCTAGTACTTCCAGTAAGGTCACTGACTCCTATTTTTTATTTTCTTTCACACAAATGACCCACATGCATCCTCTAAAACACAAGAGAAAAATAAGGTGCACTAAACTCTGCCTTTGAGTTTGCAGTGCGCAGCAGCTTCGCGGTGAGTTCACGGTGTTTTGTTCCCGCAGAGATTTGTGTTCACTGTCCTCAGCATATCATGCGGTATTAAATCTCAGCTGTACCCTCCTCTGACCCTGTTATCTGAAAAAAAAAGAAGTCCTGACCTCACTGTGTGTATGTGAATATGGAGGACAGGTGTGACTCAGCACCACCTGCGATTGAGCCTGTAAAAATGAAGGGCAGTTAAGTTGAACGCTCGCGTGTTTTCATGACATTTCATTTCTCCCGTGTTTCCAACCAAAGGCATTACTCGGAAGGGTAGAAGGAAAGCTGATAACAAGGAGGATTTGGTAAACATCCTATTGGGAGATTAACAAAGAGGGAGTCCGGTCTTTTCTGTGTGTGTGCGTGCGCGCATGCAACGGAGGGAGGGATGGAGAGAGAGAGAGAGAGAGAGAGAGAGAGAGAGAGAGAGGGCTTCCCAGAATGGGGCAGAGCAGGGAGGGGGTGAGTTGCCTGCTGGACGGGACTGAAACGTCCTTCATATAAACCGGTGACAAAGTGGCGAGCAGTGGGCCCCCGGGCGGCAGAGATCAGAGCCAGTACACAGACGCAGAGACCGAGAAGAGGAGACCGAAGCACCGAGCAGCGCGCACGGCGGTGACTGGAGCCACAGCAACACAACGAGGAGACCCGCGAACACAACCAAACTAATCCGGACGGAGCCGCATTTATTCCCGCCTACAGGTAAAACCCACATGGATGTGCGGAGAGACTAAGCTCCACCGGGTTTTTGTAATCTTGAGGTACAATTTAGAAGAAGAATATCCACACAGAGCACAGAGGGTCACACCTCTTAGCCTACCTGTTCGCGCGATGTTGGATGGATATTTTGTAGCAGATGGGGTTTGTCTTCTCCTGTCTATAAACTCACTAATGAGCCCGCGACCCCACCCCCCTTTCCCCATAACTGCGCTTTAAAATCTTTGACTCGCAGCTTTTTGAAGCATTAAAATGATCTGCGTAGACTTTTAGTTGTAGTTTTGAAGCCTTCACGTGTGTTTTGTTTCCTTCTTAATAACCGACAGAAAAAAAATTCTGAAAAGCTGTAAAGGAGAGAAAAAGGTTATTTCTACATTATATTTTCAGCGGCTCTCTCATGCGTAAAGTCGGGGCCACCTGCTCGGGGCCATGTCCCCGCGTTCAGCAGATTTGTTTAATTCGCGTCATGTAGGCAACACATCGACCGCAAGCCTGTCAGATTAAACGACTACGCATGTCAGCCATGTCAGCACCGTGCCTTAGTTCCAACTAATTAGGCTCACCCTGTCTATACTAGGTCACCACACGGAGAGCTCAACATGGAGCTAAACAGCCGGCGCTGGTATCTCACTTATACTCTGTAACTCAGCGTATGCCATCAGACTGACTCTGTGGGTGGATGGAACAGATTTAATTGCAGCCTTTTGCATCCATTATGTTTGATTCCCACCCCTCTAGCAAACCTTTTTCAGTTATTATTGTTATTATTATTTGACGTGGTGCAAACCATTTAGTTCTGTTTTTATAATGATTCGGGACTGTGTGTGTTGTTGTTTTTTTTTCTATGCTGAACACTCTTGTTCATGTGTTTGTATCTACAGAGATGGACCTCACCTCATCCTCTTCGCTATTAATTTGCGTGGTTTTGGCGGCCGCCCTGATTGGCGGGACCCGCTCGGAGGGGGTGTGTCTTCAAGATGGTAAACACAAGGCCACGCCCAGCCCGGAGCCACACCTGACGGAGTGCTCTCTGTATGCAGACAGTGAGTGATCTCATTTTCATAGTCTGTAAATCTTGGAGATATTGGAGAACAAATTAAATCTCAAATTAAATCTAAGAACAGGCCCACGTTGATGTGTTTCTCTCTTGTTGCTGCTACAGATAGCTGCTGCACACAAGAACAAATCCAGGACATCTCTCATGTTCCTTCTGCCAATAATCAGAATGAACCCTGGGACAAGTGTGGGTCCCTCAGCCCTGAGTAAGCCTTAACCACCCTTCTAGTGTCCTCAATATTTTATTCATCTGCTGTTTTAGCCCGTTGTTGCCTCTTAATGGTGATATTTTACTGCTTCAGTTATCCATTTGTATTTTTATCAGTATTTTCAGTCTCATCAGACTGCTGTTGTCAGGAAAAAGCTAAAAACCACCAATTAATGACTGGTGGAGACCAAAAATTGACCTAAAAGAGAGTCACTACTGAATTTAAAGTCATCAGGTGTCCAGAAATACAACTAGAAATGACAAGTTTGAACATGAGCTGTTTAAGCTGAGAGATAATATGTAAAATAAGTCAATATTATAGTTGTTTTTATTGCTACATATTAGCTTAAAATCACTAGTGCTTGCTTTTATTAGATTATTTCACATTTAATGGCTTTGTGTTTGATCTAGTTCTTCATTGGCTCTGTATAATCTATCGTTAACAGTAAGGGCCTGTGCATGTAGTCAGTACAGAATTTTAGTGTGTTAGTGGAGCCAATAAGGATGGATTATCTGAAATAACAAACGGCACCTTAGACAAAGAGGCTGCCAGTTTACAGACAGCAACAGCAAACACATGATCAAGTAGGTCAAATTGAAAGAGGCATTTAAGTAGCATTAACCAAAGCTGGGCAAACATACTTAAGGGATCAACAGCAGCAATGATACTAATCAACTGCTCGTACTCCCCATCTTATTTAACGTTGTTTTCTTGACCTGTCTTGTGACCGGCTGTTCCGAGTTTAATACAGACTTCGCTGGTCAGTAACAAACATGACCTCCTGTGTCTTCCCAGGTGTGAAGGCTTCCTGAAGCGCGTGCTGTGTTTTTACCGCTGCTCCCCTGACGCTGCTCGCTGGCCTCATCCTCAGCGCAGCTCATACATCCAGGCTGTTCCTCTCTGCCATAGCTTCTGCCGTGATTGGTGAGGCTGCCAAGCACGTTACCAAACAAACTAAAGTCTAAATCCCCTGTCAGCGAAGGGATCCCTATCTTGGACAACAGCATACTGTGCTAAGATTGAGTGTCCAATAAAACTGTATGTTTTATTTTTTTTATTTTTTAAGAAGGTGGCAAACACACAAAGCCTAACACAAACTGCTTCATTTCATGGGTCCTATGTAAGAAAAAAAGAAAGAAAGAAAGAAAGAAAAAATGAGACAACACTGGAAAGATAAGTGTAAGAGTGTTGTAAAGAATTAAAGGGCTGCTCCCTGCAAAAATACTTAAAAATTACTTAACATTTTGGAAAATATTCTTTTTGCCTTTTCTGTTAAGAGTTGGCTTAGGATGAATGATGCTACTAGAAGCTTGTTAGCTTAGCACAGACTCTAGAAAATGTGGCTTTATTCAAGTACATTTGAAAAATATATATAAGTTCAGAAAGATACTCCAGAAACTTATAGATCCTAGAGTCTAACAGCTCATAAAAACACCGCTTGTCACTTTCACACTGGATTTTTGTGAACATTAGACAAACAACATAAGGATTAACAAGCTTACGATGCGCTATTTCCAGTCTTAATACTCAGCTTATGTAAGAAGCTGCTGGTAACTTTATATTTAGCATGAAAGTGAAATCTTTTCATTTTAAGCTCAGAAAGAAAGTCGCTAAGATGTTATTTTTTTTATTGGTTTTTGTTAAATTTATCTAGCTCAGGTAAAAAATAAAAAAATAAATCTCAAGAGAAATCATTTAAATAAAAGAGTAATTGTTTGTTTTGTCATTTACATTTTTCAACATTCACATTTGTTCTTTCAGGTTTGATGCCTGCAGGATGGATTTGACTTGCGCCCGTAACTGGGCCAGAGACCCCAGGGGACAGAACTGCACTGGAAACTGTGTTCAGTATCAGCAGGTAGGCTTTAAGCAAGATTAACAAGTTAACCGGATATATTGAACCTAAAGCTATTTTTGGGTTTAGACTGGGTTTTTTTGGTTACATGGCAACTAATAGAAAATGGATAATAAAACTGATTAGTCTACTAGATTTTCTTGCAGAGAATAATCAATAAATAAAATAAATTTCATTTTGAACAGCTAAAAATCTCTTCTATCATAAGCTAGTTTTAGAGATACAGTAAGTGCCCTTCATGAGTATTAGTCTTTAATCACTTTTAAGTACCCAAAACTCTCATTTGTCTTTAAATATCTGCGTAACGAAGGACATTCTTGTGCTAAACTTTGTAGCAAAAATTAGCATGCTAAAAACTGATGGTAATACAGTCATTCCTGTTTAACATCAGGAAGCTAGCATCACATGACACTGTGAGGATGGTGGCGTAACACCAGCATTGGCACCTATGTGACCTTGTTAGCCACGTAGAAATAAAAATTGTAGTCACGTGCTTTATTATTAGCAAGCAGAGCACAGTAAAGTCACAGCTTAGCTAAGGTTTTCTGGTAAGCAGAGGTGGGTGTCAGATATTTGAATCCTGCTGAGTGACCTCGGGGCTTGTCATTTGAGATCTTTGTTGCAGGCAGAACGTCAGAAACTGTGGCGTGGTGCCTTAGTGGTATAGAGAGAGACGGCGGTTAAATGAGGGGTTAACGGCACCAAGGCTGAAGTGTGAAAAGGCTGGGCCCTGCTTCAGTGGGCAGAGGCCAGCTGGGTGATTGAAAAAGAGTGACAAACGGGTGCTGGTGTGCGCAGCTGAGACCAGCAGCAAAATGACTCACACTTCACAGGCAATGACACTCTATCTATAGACCATGTCCAATGGTGCAGTGGTGCCTGAAGAAGTAAATATACACATAAAGGGACCTGTTTTTTTTTTTTTCTCACATTTTTATTTTTATTTTTGGACTCTCACCTATTTCATAATTCAGAAAAATATCTGTTCCGTCTTCGACCTTGGTGCAATCTCTTAGTCCATCTACTGCAAGAAACAAGTCGTTTTAACTCCTCTTACATCTTTCAGGCAAGCTTTCTTCTGATTGGCTCCTCCTCATAATAAAAATGTTTAAATAGTAGGTGGGTGGATCTTATGGGCTCACATTCCCCTTCTCTACAATGTCAAACTTCTCCTCCTTTGATACACATGAAAATCAGACATCTGTTCTCTCACTTTGCACGTCTATTCAATTTCAATGAAATTATACATATAACACCAAACACAATAATAGTCACATCAGTAATGCAGAGAAAACTCCAGGCGACCCCCTATGAGCAAGCACTTGGAGACAGTGGGAAGGAAAAACTCCCTTTTAACAGGAAGAAATCTCTGGCCGAACCAGGCTCAAGGAGGTGGGGTCATCTGCAGTGACTTGTTGAAGGTTGAGAGTATACAATAAAGTACTGTAGTTTTTAGCATAAGCCAGAGTTTGTCGCTGTTAGCTCATCTTGTTTTAAAGTGAAACTTGACTGTTCTCCATTGATTTTTTTTTTTTCTGACTATCTGAAGAGAAGCAAATACTTCCTGGGTCCTCTGATTGGCTTCCCAACATCAGACAGGGATATCATGCCTTTGCTATACTTAGAAGGGGAAAAAATAGCGCTTCTACCTGTTTCTGCACTCTCCAATGTCAGGATGTCTGTTGTGCATCAGAGGGGATTTAGATGTGAATATATGCAAAGCCTGCTAGAAAATAAGTAGGTATACACCACACACCACTCATATATCTTAATATATCCGAGAGTGTGCTTTCTCTTGATTTCACTCGCATTTATCTCAAACAAGCACAGGGAGAGAGAGCGAGAGGACCACAGTGACAGATGAGCACACACCCACAGCCGCCAGGCCTATTAAGGCTGTCTGGGGGATATTAGATGATTATTGGAAATTACACATTTGTGAGAAGAGAGTAAAAGCAAAAAGAGACGTTTGGGGAGTGTTTGAGTGTGTCTCTGTCACGGTGTGTTTTCTGTGCTTTTATTGGCCCATTTTAATGTAGGGCAGCACTAATGGTGCAAAAAATACTTCCAATAAATTTAAGCAGCTCTCAAAACAGTGTTTCAGACAGCTCGTCGGTACGCATTCAGTGCATTCAAGCAAACTAGCCCTCTTTACAGGGGCCACAAACAAGTGGCTGCCTCCCGTTTTTGGAGGTCAAAACGGTAACACTTTGTGTTTTCCTCCTCAGCCAGCAGAGATGGGAGATTTCACCTCAGACCTGCTGCACACAAGCAGCCGCTCAGACATCGCACTAAAACACTCTCAGCTCCACTCCACCCAATGTTGGTGCACGTGGGTGTCTGCTGGATAAACACACACCCATACAGTTATTATTTGTAAAAGCTGAAAGCAGTAGATGTCGATTTGCATAGAGACAAGCGGATACTTTTAAAAGCATGCATAAGCACCCGCAGACACATCCTTTGCATGCAAAAATCCCTCTGGCACGCTCACTGTCTCGCTCTCTTTTTGTACTCATTGGTTACATTATTTGCCAGCCAAGGTCTGATTTATCTCAGCATTAGACACTTTTTTTTTTCCTGCTCCTGATGCAGTGGGAATGAGGTTATGTCTACAAAGAACAGCACAGAACGTCTGTGCTTGAACAACAACAACAGCATCTGTCGATAAGATATAGTGAACTAATGGTTTGTAGGGATTGGGGGGAAATGCTATAGATTTCAAAGATACCAGTAGAAGCTTAGCTTGGATAAAAGGGAAGAAATGGTAGCAAATTTAGCTGGACCTGTGTCCTATTAAATTACCTGTATAATTAAATAGTAGTAATACTTTATTTTGCAATATTCATACAAGGTTCTTATGTGAACATGGCCAAAAAAGCTGAATAATAGCTATTTAGTAATAGCAGAAATATTGCATCTTCCATTCACTGCATTGCTTTGTAAGTTTGTGGCCCTGAAAAATTGGAAAACGAGAAACCACAAACCTACACAGCAGTTAGGATTTTTTTTTCTTCTGGTCTAGTGTTCTGTCATTGAAAAATAAGAATCAACCCTGGCTCAGATTTTTCATCTAAAAACAGGGAAAATGACGTGTTGTTTGAGGAATTTAGTTGTTGTTCATCATAGTTGCTTTTCTATAAAAGTGGTGGTGTTTCCATCATCATTTTATCTGCCTGTCTCATGGCTCCATCTAACCTGTGTTCCCATTCTTAAGTCTACCTAAAGTAATTAAGTACAATACAGTAATGCTAAGTCAGCCTTAAAAACAAATGTAATTCTTTGTCGCTTCTTCTTCCAATCGTCCACATTTGTCATGATGTCATTAATTCAAATTATCGTATTGTCATTTAGCAGCTTAGATCTAAAGCAGGAGTGTCAAAAATAAGGCCCGAGAGCCAAAATCTGGTATCACCAGTTTGCCCCACTGGACGGTTTTGGAAAATGTTTGGAAACAGTATTTTCATAGTTTTTCGAATGATGAAGACCTCATACTGCACCAAAGTATTAAACAATAGATAAACAGTTACTTGCAAGAAAAGGGGGCGGGTATTTTCTTAAATTACAGAAAATTCTGTCCAATGAGCTACAAGACCTTTTTGTGTAATTTTACCCCGTATTTCTTACAATTTCAGCCCAAAAAGTCACGCTAACAGATTTCTTAAATTGCTACAGCAGCATTTCTTTATGACACACAAAAACGTGAGATGTAGTGTTGAAACTGCTTATCTTTGTGCACTTTTCTTCTCATGTTAGATATGTCCAGTGAAACTTATTTACACAGACAGAAAGGCGAGTTTCTCACTGGTCCGGCCCTCTTAAGATCAAAGTGGCTCACATTGTAAAATGAGTTTGACATCCCTGATTTAAAAGCACTATCCTTTCAAATAATGGACATTACAACTGTCATTGTACTATAACTGTATGTTATGAATAATTTGATCACAGATTCTAATAGTATTATTCCAAATTTCATTTCTTCAGTCATACAGGCCATTTACAGGCTCTTCATATACTGAGATTAGTTTTTATTGGTTTAGTCAAAAAACTCATTCTGATCATGACTGCAAGCTAAAATAATTTCTTCTGTTGCCTTTTTTTTTTTTTTTTTTTTTGCACATCAGGTGTAATGTGTTCGGTTTCGGATGGTGAAGGGCAGAATTAAATAAGGGCGAAGAGGACAGCGCAGAGCCCCAGGAAATTTCTGTATCTCACTTATTTGATCACACCATGTCATCTAAAGCCACTCGTGCTCATACTGAATTAGCTTTGGCAGCAAACCACGTCCGCCTGAGGAATAGTGGAAGTGTTTGTGTGAATGCAGGTGTGTGTGTGTGTGTGTGTGTGTGTGTGTATACCCTTGTATGTGTTATAGGGTTGCTGCGATAAGACCTAAGTGTCAGACAGAGAGCTTGTAGTGGCGAGAAATAGCCATCATCCTGTTTGTCCTTCCAACACGGTAAACATATTACTTTTTTTTTCTTCTTCTTCTCTGAGCACTCTGCGTGACTCAGTCTTAATCCCCCAACAGACAGGAGGATGAAAGGAAGCAGACGTTTGGCTGGGGGTGTGCTACAGAGAAACAGGGGAGAGATGTACAAACAGTGAGTGCAGCAAAAAGCAAGGGGCGGTGGAGGTGGGAGGGGTACAAGAGTAGGTGATGGTTACTTGGCAGCACATCTTAATGACTGGTTATGAGGCTGTCACTGGGGAGAGAGATCGAGAGCTTAAACACAGAAAAGCGAGTGTGTGTGTGTGTGTGCGCGCAACTGAAACTTTGCTCATTTGCTTTCCTAACTATTTCTAAGCTTGTAGGCATAAACCATTTACAGCTAAACGGCTTAAATGTTGAATTGTGATTTGGTGTTACTTGTGCAGTATCCCCCCTTTAATCCGTATTTGTGTCTTATTAGAAGAGGAGCGCCTTTTTCCTTCCCCCC